GTTTGTATACAAATATTGTGCAGAATGCATCCAGCCATAACTGTTTTTACAATCAAGCCCATTTGACACGTCTAAAAATGTTTGCAGTATGAACCTTCAACAAGATGAGCAAATGCACGCGAAATTTCATTTCTACATTTTGATAATTTATTATTGTATAATTGCACGCTGGTGAGATTCCCATTACATCCATATGGCGTTAGCAAATGTTCAGATGGGTACTATCACCCAAAATATAGACACAGCTGAAAAATCCATTATCAGTGTTTACTCTGATGCAATGTTGAACGTCGGAAAACACAGGCATCATGCACTGACCCAGCGTTATCTACATTACAGTCTAAAAATACCATTTTCTCATTACAAACTAAACTTGTAAGATGACGGTGTAATACTTATTTCTATTGAAATAAGCTGCTGTTTCTTCAGTTGATATTCTAATAGCCATATGGTTTACATCAATAGAGCCTATAATTCCAGAGAAACCAAATTGGGTATAAAAGAAATTCCATTGTTCTTGCAGAATCCTGCTGTGATGGCCAATAGATTATTTTTTCACTTTTATTTAATATTAGTAATACTAGTAATACTAATAAGAGAGAATTAATAACANATAAATCCAGGGAAACCAGATTGGGTATAAAAGAAATTCCATTGTTCTTGCAGCATCCTGCTGTGATGGCCAAAAGATTATTTTTTCACTTTTATTTAACACTAAGAGAGAATTAACAGCCTTATTTAAAATATTCTACGCAGTGCGTCTAGACATATTAAAACGATCGCCGTTAGAGAAAAGAAAGAAACAAAAAAAAAATGTTTTGTATTTAATATCAATTATTTGTTGATTTTAAACTCAGTTTAGTCAGATCTGTTCACTGGGTAAAACAATCGCATTAAATAAGTATTAAATAAGTGCCCATCAAATGCAGGTGGTCGCCTAAGCAGTTTTCACTGTATATATATATACTTTTAACGGAAATATAAATTTATATACAAATAATANAACTATTTCAGATTAAAAGGTTCAAATTTCAAGTTTGATTGTTAGTTTATTCATACAAATATAAACATTACCACGAAACCCGATACACCATAATAAACTAACCACCACTGCTCTACGACATCAGTTATTATAATTATAAATTACTGATAAATTTGACCAAAGAGGGAGGTGTTAGGTGCCATCTCATAATAACTATAATTAAATTAGATTAAATAATTTATTAAATTTTAAACTGGAAGAAAAGAATTGACCCAGAGTGGTTGAACCTGCCATATAGATGTGTTACCAATATCGCTAACCAGACCTCTAGTTCAATCTCTTCTTCCAGTATGCAACGGCCAACCGAGTGCCAACTTGAAAGGAGTTTTTACAGGACAAAGTTGCCGAATGCAACCCAGTCGGCACCATAAAAACCGACGACGGTTATATTGTAATGCAAAACATACGGGAAGAGGAGATCAGACCAGAGGTCCGGGTAGCATTATCGGCAATGCATCTGCATGGCAAGTGGTAGTTGTGGTTTCGATTCTTTTCTTCCAGTTAAACTAAAATTAGTGAATCAAAAAAATTCTAATTTAATTAAATAACACAAAGTGTTTCTATTTCAACTTTTGACGATATTCCATCTTTATTCAGTTGATACAGTTACGAGTACAATAACACGTTTCGGACACTGCCCCTCCTCAGTCAATTTTGAACATCAGATTTTAAAGAACTACGTAATTCTTTTTCTTTTGAAGCATCACTGTATAAGTATTCCTATCACAAAGTCCTTCTTCATCACTAATTAATATCACTTTCAATTTATGCTCCAAGTTTTGAAATTGATTCACTAACACAGTGTGTTTCTAAGAAATAAGACAACATAGTTTCAGAAGATTTAAATTAGAATTATTAAATTTATTACTAGATGGTGCCTAATGCCTTCCTCTTTGGTCAAATTTATAATTATTATAGCCTATATTTAACCCAACGTCACACCGCAGCGGTCGTTGCTTTAGTATAGTTTACACTTCATTATAGAATGTTATAAAAAAAGATTTTAAATTTTGTATCAAGATATTCAGTGTGCCTACCCATAATACAACAAGCAAAATTTGGTAAATAAGAGAGAACCTTTTGTCTTCATTAAAAGGTTGTATCTGTGAATAACTAAATTTTGATTTGATTTGACAATAGGGAAAGATTTTCTTGAAGCTTCTTGTCCTTTAATTTATTTCTTAGATTGTATAATTTGATAAATTAAGGACTTATCATACAGAATTGTATTTTATGGAGATGGGAGACAAAAGCTGTTTAGTTCCTACACAGAATGCATTTTGGGTTTTAGACCCCTCTTCGGCTACTAATTCAAAAGGAAAATACAAATATTTTTTAAAAATTTGTATTCTCCTTTTGAGTTTAATCAAAACTAGGTTTACATAACAAAATAGTCCGCATCCGAAGAGGATCTAACACCCAAAATGGATTCTGCGTAAGAACTATTGAAAGAGCTTAAGTCGTCCATCTCGATAAAATATATTCTTGTATGCTAAGTCCTTAATTTATCTAATTATGTGATTTAAGAAGTATAGAAAAAGAAATAATATTAAACAGATTAGCTTATCCAATTTCAATATTAAATGAAGTTCTACTGGAATGAGTGGAAAATATGTCATTGTTACAGAAATAACTATAGCCCCTTAGAAAACAGGAAGGGTAAATATGACGATATTGACAGCATAGTTTAAAAGGGCTAACATATTGTGTTAAATAATTTTGCAAAACTCCATAAACGACAAACACTTGCACTTACTACAAGCAATTATTTATTGTGACACGGTCACAAGGCCGTTGCAGTTTTTAATTATATTTTAAAATCATTTAACTAAAATATATGCTCGCCACCTCAAATTAGTAGCGGCTGGTCCCTGTACATTATACTTTTCCTTTAACGATAGAGTTGTGCCAGTCATCTATTAACCGCTTTCGGGGGTTTGAGTTGAAAAAACGACTTCCGGTTTGCATCGGAAGTTACAGTTAATTTTGACCTCCTGTTCCTAAGGTTTCCATATCTGGTCTCGGATTTCATCTAACTCCTTTCTCTAGATCAAGGGTCGCCAAACTTTTTTGATCGTCGATCCCCAACACGTTTTCGAAACCTCACATCGACCCCCACCAAAATGTTTGTGTTACAAGCAAAGCAAAGTACTTAGTATTTTAATATATTTCTTTTAATTTTGAATTTTTTTCGTTTATTGTATATTTGTTAAGGACTTAAAGCTACTTTCTGATGTCAAAAACGACCTCCGATAGTTCTTAATTTTTTAAATTAATATATTTTATTATATATACGTTTAATTAAGTCGGGGGGTCGGAAATGGCAATTAAAATTTGAATTTTTTAAAAATATTTAAAAATATACGGCCAGCTAGTATTCACCCTACTTTAAACCGTTGTCCTCCCGAGACGTCTATGAGAATGTCCCGGAAAATCGGACATCAGCTGTTCTCAACGTCATCCAGCTGTGTAAACAGTGACTCATCGGTGTCAGATTTCACAGAAAGGCGAGACAATGGAAAATAAAGTTTAAAGCTTTTTCTTCAAAATTAACGCATTTCTTTCGTTTTTTTCAGTTTTAAATACTTTTTATGTTTAATTACATTAATATCAAAAATTGAAAGGTCTCAAGGAGATTAAAAATCTATTAGCTATCTATTAATACTTTGAAAAGACTCTCTTGTATGTCTAAGATGCTGTTTAAAATCGGTTGAATTATAAACAGATACAGTCTCTTCAATAAAGATTTTTATCTTCTTTATGGATTTTGCTTTTTTTTTCTTCTTTCATTTTTCCACAGTTATATCTATAACATGATCATCCTCGTCCGGTTCGGAATCAAGTAATTCTATCTGTAACGTAACATTTATAACATTTAACATGTAAAACTTAACAATATTACTTGCAGAAAGCTGCCATATTTCTTGTTAGCGTTTGCGTTTTCTTTCGAACTGGACATTCAAGCACGAATACACATGCTAATGATGTCACTTTCGGTGTTCAGAAGTAGCAGTATTAGCTCAAAAGTAAACGCATCCTTAAATATGTGCCGGTTTCTCATAGAAAACCTACTGAAGGGCAAAACTCTTCCTTGGCGAAATAATAACAATTGTCTTATTCCACTTATTAATGCAATCCTTATACAGGTGGAATGTATACATCTGACGATTTTTAGAAAATATTTAATTCCATGTGTTTCGTTACAAGCAGATTTTATTGCCACAAAAAGATACTCAATGAAAGGGCCATAGTTGTCTTGAAAATAATGTCCACGAAATGGCCATTCTAATTTTCCAACCACTGGACCATTCCGGTCCGAAGGAAACTATCACCCGATGAAGAATGTTCTGTGCAACATTACGTATCACACACTGAACCTTCTTTCCGCCATTTCCTAAACAACAACAGTCTTTTTTTGAGGAAGCATGTCATGTGTTGAAATTTCTTTGTATAGCTGTGATGAAGTTGATTTTTATGAACGCTTATATCGTAGCAAGAATCTCCTTTACAGACCTCAATGCACCACGGTCACTGAATTCTACTCTCTTTCTCTGATAAGTTAATACGGAGATTTCACAAAAAGCCAACAGAATTTTCAGAAATATGCAGCTAAATACACTAATGCCGCTAGGAACTAGGGCCTTACGACAAAATGTTTCTACAAAATAAACACCATCAGATGTTTATGTCTCAGTCTGTATAATTTTTTACTTCTAACGTTAACAATGCTTTCATGCTAATGATTTTTTATTATAGCAATAAATTCTCCGAAGATTTGCAAGTCCATTTCTTCGAATTTTTTAAAATTACAAACTTCCAATTTCTTGCCGATTATGGCATTTCCCTTCTAGAAAAATTCTCATGAGAATTCGATAAAATTTATCTGATTTTAAATAAACTTTGGTTATCATTAGTTTCGGACTGGGGCCCCCCTCTTTTATATAACGCATTAAATGCGATCGGCTTTTATATTTTAAGTATTTTAATGCTTTTACACGATCCGATTGGCTCCGACTAAAAGCATCCAAGAACTTGCGTAATCCTTCAGGTATTTTTACTCCTTTTTTTAAAGATTATATCTCCTAAATATCTTATTTTTTACCTCCTAACAAAATATGATTAACCTCGAATATATACTTTTTAAATATTATACTCGTTTTAAGTATACTTGTAAAAGCATTCTTTGTAACTTAAAACATTTCAGTATTTTTAAACTTCTTGAACTTAGTTCTTAAACTTAAAAAAATGATTTAATGAAATGGAAGCAATTAATGTATTTAGAACAATGCTTTACTACATTATTTTATTCAAAATTTCGTATAAGAAATTATAAAATAATTTGAATTAGTTGTAAGTACATATACACACATTGTAGTGATGCATTTAAATGAATATTACCGTTATATTTATATTTACCAATTTCAAAAAAACCGACTGATACCTGGATACTTAAACAACTACAAGAGAAAGTTGTTTATCCTTCCAGTTATTATTTTGTAATTATCTTGAATTCAATAAATTAAATAAACGATCTCGCAATTTTCCTTTATATATAAAAAGATTTTAAAATTTCACAGATTTACCTGTAGAAAATGCATTATTATACATCAATCATATTAATTTGTTTCTTCATACATAGAAATGATGGTAAGTGTATTTATTGTAATTTAAAATAATTCACATACGAAATGGCTAATTTTATAAATGTTAAAATATATTTTTAGCCTTAAAAGAGTGTGGTGTTTCTATAGAACAAATGATACGCATTGTGGGAGGAAGTTCGAGTTCTCCGGGAGACTGGCCATGGCAGATACAAATTAGTGGTCAGTTTAGGCACAAAACCAAATGTGGTGGGACAATTATCAATGAAAATTGGATTCTTACGGCAGCTCATTGCCTAGAAGAGTACATTTTATTTTAATATAATTTGTTATTATTTTTATAAATGATATAATCTTAACGAATTATTATTCAGCATTTCCACGCCTGAATTTATTGTAATCTGGTTAGGAAAATTTGATGTGAGCAAGCGAGAAGATGGAGCAATTCTTCGTCATATCAGCAAAGTATAATAATTTTGTGGTATGATTAAATATTTGAATTATATGTATAATATACTTTAATCCCTTTTCAGTACGTTGTTCATCCTGATTTCGATACAATCACTACGGATAATGATATTGCTCTATTAAAATTATCTAAACCAATAGATTTTGAAGGAAATCATTCACATATCACCCCAATTTGTTTAGCTGATGAGAACTTTACTGTAGATAATAGATTCTGTGTAGCAACAGGCTGGGGAAGTCTCTATCCTGGTAAGTAAGCTTTATGTGTTTACTGCATTTCTTACACTGTAAAACAATATTACTTGATCTTAGTTTGATTTTTAAAGAGGGAGAAGAATCAAATTTACTTCAAGTAGTATCACTTCCGATTATTGAACAAGAAACCTGTAAGAAGTTACTTGCCAGGTATTACCAGAATGTGACACAAGGAATGATTTGTGCTGGTCGTGGAAAAATAGGTGTTTGCAACGTAAGATATTTAACATTTAGACATCTAGTTCTTGATACTATTTACATTATTTAATTGTTTATAGGGAGACTCGGGTGGTCCTTTACAATGTAAGAAAAATGGAAAATGGTACCAAGTTGGCATAACTTCTTGGGGTGTTGGATGTGCGGTACCTGATGTGCCTGATGTATTTGCGCGAGTTAGTCATTATCTATCCTGGATTAACACTGTGATAGAAAACTATTGAGTTTTTAACGAATTATATTAAGTTTTTAACTGTAATTATTTGATAGTATCTCGAGATGTACAAAATTATTACTTTCAAATGTCGATTTATATCAAAAAACACTAAATCATGATTTAAAATATTATAATAGTTTACATAATAAAAATATAATAATAGTAATAATACATATAATAATATAATCAATGTTTATATTTGTCATAATTTAAATAAAACTTTATTTCACATAAACATAAAGCATCTATTCCAAAATAATTATAAAACCGATGGAGTCAGAAATTTTCTTTTGTTTTCTTCTTACACAAATGTAAAATACGAAAAAAGTTATATTTTTCTTTCTCTTCTGACTTTTTGGATAATATAAAACCTCAATTTTTTAAAAACATTAAGCCATAATGACTAAAATTTTTCCAAAAAAGAAGTTAAAATAGGTATAAAAAGAAAGAAAATAATTTGCAGAGAATTTTTTTTTATTTACATTACGAACAAGCTTTCTTCAAAATTCTTTTTGAAGAAAAACTTTTAAGAAAAACTTCTTTTTGAAAAACTCTGCTTTTTCATTGTAACCTTCAAAAAGAAGAAAAAGATGAATTTAGAATTAAAATTTGTGAAGACCTAAAAAAGCTTAATATTAAGAAAGGGTGCATCCAGGATCATAAAGCAAAATTTTATATAGGTAAATACAGTAGAGCGTCGATTTTCCGAAAGTCAATCATCCGAAAGAATTTCAGTCTGCAAATTTAAATTTTCGCCAGTGCTGTGGCGCTTCAATCTTTGGCTATGTCTTGGGCTACTCAAATATTTTACGTTTTTGATACTAAATTAACATCTGAAGTATAATTTTTTATTATTTTTATATTTTTCAATATATTTATTTTGTTTGTACAAAATAAAAAAAATAACTTTTAACGATACAATAGTCTTTGTTAGGCTTAACATCGACGAAAATTCAACGCGAAGCGACACGCAACGGAGAAAAATTTCGACATCGGATACGTTAAACTATTTTTTCGTACGTAAATCAGTTATCCGAAATATCGGTCATCCGGACAACCCCAGTCCCCAATTGATTCGGAAAATCGACGCTCTACTGTATAATAGAATTAATAAATTCATTAAAAAACATAATTTATGTTTATTAAAAGCAGATAAATCAAATCAAATAGTCATCATGAATTTACGTGAATTAGAAAATAAGAAACGAGAAATTATATCTGAAGGAAGTTTTGAAAAATTGGAAAAAAATCCATTAATTGAAATACAACAAACATTAACCAGAAAATTGAAGAAATTAGTGAAAGAAGGTTATATCCAGGCGAATCAAAATAAAGAGATACTTCCAAAGGAAAATGTAAGAATTCCAAAATTCCAATGCAAGAATTCCTAAATTGACTGTTAGAATTAAAACACACAAACAAAATCATAGACTTTAGATTCACATTGTTATATAATCTAGAAATGTTTATTAAAAAGTTATTACAGGACATACAAAACTCGAAATATACAGTTAAAAATGCTAATGACTTAATATCAAGATTACAAAACGGTATAATCTTGCCTAATTATAAACTGATGAGTTTGGATCTAACATCTATGTATCGTTTCCATTACTAAACATATGATTGTGAGCAGCCTATGTAAGTATGATGTCTCTGATTATTTAAAAGATTTAATTATCTTCACATTAGATAATAACTATTTTTCAGTAAGGGAGAATTTTTATCGACAAACAGAAGGTATTTCGATGGGTTCCGTAATAGGACCAAAACTGGCCAAAATTTATATGCTGGATGTGGACATGGTTTTATCAACGTTAAGTGGAGTTAAGTTTTTGGCAAGGTACGTCGATGATATTTTGATAGTGTATGATAGTTCAGTAACGACAAATTTGCAAATTTTGCAACAAGCTAATAAAATTAATTTGAATATTTAATTTACTCAAGAACATGAATTAAATAATCAATTAAGTTATTTAGATATAACAATTAAAAGATTTGAAGATCATTTGGAATACTGTAAATTTGAAAAACCATGTAATACCAGAAAAGTAATTAATTATAAATCATAATGTCCTTTAAACCAAAAATATAATGTAGCCTATATCTGATGGAAATAACAAAGATTTTTTCTAGAACAACAAATATAGATAAAAGAGAGAAAGACATTGAAGATACACATAAGAAATATATTTTAAATGGATACCCAAAAAAATTACTAAGTGATTGGTACAGTACCATAGATTCTTAGGAAACAGATTTAAAGTTAAACGTCGTCAAGAAATAACAAAGTATGTATAATTTCCATATATAAAAGGTATTTATGAAAAATATAATAAATTTTTTAGTCAAAAATCGATTAGATTGGCTCCATCCTTAAATAACAGGTTATCAAATATGAGGATTATGAAAAGTACCAAAAAAGATTTATTAGAAGAAGCTGTATCGGATAGAATGTACGTGAAACAAAACGAAGATTAAAGGTTAGACTGTCGGAACATTTGGCTGCTGTAAGATTAAAAATTAGTAATTCTCCTGTCTTCCAACATTGTAATAGTAATAATTGTCAAATTAATACTAATAAATTAAAAATAATTTTTTAATTAAGTCAAAACAAATAATTATATATGAACTTATATTTCAGTTAAGAAATATACCGTGTTTCCCCGAAAATAAGACAGTGTCTTATATTAATTTTTGCTCTGAAAAAGGGCCTAGGTCTTATTTTCAGGGAATGTCTTATTTTTTCCAGGAAGAAGGATTCACATTCGTTATTGAACAAAAAAATTCCTAAGTCGAACTTAGACGAGAGTGACGTACATCCGGTGGGTCGAACTGTCGCCTTTTTATAGCGTCAGCATCAGACTCGATGACCAATTAGTGCTTACTGAACTGTAGCACTATGCAAATGTCATTTCGCGTGATTCCCGGCTGACCAATTAGGCATCACTAGCTGTAACGTTATGCAAATCTGTGATTCCCAAGCCATAGTCTTATGCAAATCATGCCGCGTGGCGTAATTGTCTGCTGACCAATCAGTGGCTGTACTTTCAAAAAGCCAACGGCCACTTTCAACCATCTGTCGATGACTGTTACGACTAAAAAAACTTCGCTAGGTCTTACTTTCAGGGGGAGGTCTTATATTTCGCAATTCAGCAAAATCTGTGCTAGGTCTTATTTTCGGGGAAACACGGTATATATATTTCTCTCTATATATAAATTAGGCTATATATCGTTTTAATAGATTTTAAATTTTATTAAAAATTACTTAATATTGCTTTCAGGCATAAATGCGTTATTTTGGAAGTGTACAAAAGAGACGTTCCAGGCTCAAATAGGTATAGGGAATAATTGTTGGGATTCCCTTTGAGATTGTTACACGAGAAATGGAAGAACTTGTCTGAAGTAGTGAAGATTGAAGCTTCTAATTTCGGTTGTTACGAACCGAATTTAACTATTAGGAGTTAACTCCTATGTAATTTAACACAGGAGCTAACTGTTATGAACCAGAAAAAGTTCTTTGAAGCTACGAGAACTACACATTATATTATTCTTATTAAGATAAATTTTGATCCCGTTGTCTGACGGGTATTTGCTTGTTCATACAAGTCACGTAACTTGAAGTCAACTGATTTATATAAATTCTTCTCTGTTGAGGGTTCAGACCACATGCTAGCGAAGTGATGTGGAGCGATTCTAGAAGCCGCTAAAGAAAGAACGGTATACTCAAATCCTTTAATGTTTTATGTCAATGTATAGTTTTTGAAAGTGACAGAATACTCTATGTATGTCTTGTCTCTTTAATCCGACATTAAGTTCGGTAGACTATCATTACAACTTTCAGGTTAGACACTTCTTTTATTGTTTCCACATATGCATTTTGGACTTATATAAATGTTAAGTCCCTCTTCAGTACAATACTATGGTTCTGTCTCCTAAAATCACGGTGTACAACGGGTAACATTGGAAAGGTTTTAAAATGCAGCCATTAAAAACACCTCAAGTACATATTCACCATTAATACGGTAAACCTGTTTTCTCGATCCATTTGTTTTCCATAGAACATAATAACAGCTATCCAAAAGTGATATTTAGAAATTATTGAAAACAAATGGATCGAGAAAACAGGTTTTCCGTATTAATGGTGAATATGTACTTGAGGTGTTTTTAATGGCTGCATTTTAAAATCTTTCCAATGTTACCCGTTGTACACCGTGATTTTAGGAGACAGAACCATAGTATTGTACTGAAGAAAGACTTAACATTTATATAAGACCAAAATGCATATGTGGAAACAATAAAAGAAGTGTCTAACCTGAAAGCTGTAATAATAGTCTACCGAACTAAATGTCGAATTAAAGAGACAAGACATACATAGAACATAATAACAGCTATCCAAAAGTGATATTGACAAAATGCTGTTCGACAACAGTATTTTAAAATGTTTCTGAAAAATTTCTCTCGGGTGTTCTTAGTCTTTGCAAAATTTTATCTTTAAAAGTTTGATAAAAACTTTGCACATAAAGCCACAAAGCCACGTCAAGGCGACACCCATTTTGTGGTAGTTTTTTATTTTCCAGAAACTAACCCTGATTGCTAGACAGAATAACAATCAGAGAATAAAACTGGATATTCATTGCTATTTCATTAATTCAATCAACTGAAATCATTCGCGGAAAATACTGTTATTATGACATTATAAGAAATGTTGTTATTAGGGAAGAAGAATTTTTCATTTTAAATTGAATTAAAAATTGTAAGAATTAATGCCGAATTAATTTATACTTCTCAACAAGTGCAAAATTCTTATGTAGGCCTATAGGTGTTATCATTAATCACTCATCTCAAAATATAAGAATAGCAATGAATAAAATATGAACTGTTTACATTTTCAAAATAACAACATATTTTCACGTTAATCTTACAACGCATGAAATATATAGTTATAAAATACATTATAATTAATTATAATACACAATACTAATAAAATAATAATATGATAATATTTAATTACATACAAGAAGCGTTCAATTAGCAATTCGTCCTATAT